AAGAGATAATAAAAGCAACCAAGGGTTCGGGATTACTCCTAAACGACTCCTAGTGATGAATAGATGTTCTTTCGCCAATTCTTATGAGTGGAATGTCACTAAAGTATTCTAACTCCTGTTACGGCAGCGAGATTGTGATTAATTCTACGTGTGAATCCCGTCATGGTTCACATTCATCTAAAATTAACCCCATTGAAGATTAGGACATTATAAAAACAACCATACTCAATTGAGGTATATTTCTATCCACAATTAGAATATGTCTAACCTTTAAGTGCACGGTTTATAACTCAACGTTAATTGCTCAAATAAACCCAACGATATAATCATACGTTGTACACCGTAGTCATACACATTAAAATATAAAGGAAAGGTCAAAATAATTTGGTTGAGAACATACATCAAACACCTAGAATGCGTAAAGTTTCATCCCTAACCTTGGCTATAGAAAATTAGCTAGAACAATTCATAATGAAATTACAAGTATTGAAATGATAAAATACAATGAAATACATAAGAAAATGATACCACAACTCCAAAGCTATGGTGGACAAAGCTTTCCCCAAGTGTAGAACTTCTCTCAAGACAAAGGGGTTGCTCTTGGGATGCCAAAGTAGAAGTAAAGTGTGTAGATCTAGAATATGGAATAATGTATTGAGAGGGCTTCAATCCTCTTAAATATTGAGTTCTCAACGGCCATTTTCAGACAAGGAAGCAAGCTCCTTAATGGGATTTGGTGTTTTGCCCGAATGATTGTGATGACCGTTGCTTGTTTTAATCAGCTCCAGGCGAAAGGTGGGCGACATTCGCAAAACCCGGGCGGCTTTTGCGCGTTTAAAACAGGCTTCTCCGCTCCAGGGACCGAAAGCCGGGCGGCTTATGCCAAAAGCCGGGCGGCTTTTGGTTCGACTTATTGAATAAATTCCACAGCGCCCAAAGCCGGACGCCTTTCATGAAAGTCGGGCGGCTTTCGTCTTGTTTTGCTCCGGATGCTTTTCCTTCATCTTCTGACGGCAACTGGATGACTGGTTGGTGAAAACCGGCCGGTTTTGGTGAAAGCCGAGCGGCTTTCACCCCTTTGGTGTATTTTCCTCTTTTCTTTTGTTCTTCGGGATGCATTTGGTTGACCTTTACTTGTCGGGATTCTTTGTGTGTCTTTTCATCCTCGTATTTGATCCAATTGTTGGTTATAGTATTTCTTGCAAAACGAGACATATGTGTGAGAGTTTCATTCTTTTAAATATAAAAGCGTTTTTAAATTATTGTATAAAATACGTTAATAAAACGCTTATCAAATACTCCCACACTTGAGTTTTGCTTGTCCTCAAGCAAATTTAAAACTTTTTTTTTGTGGAATTATTAAGTCAAAACCTTAAGAAAAATTCTTTTGAAAAAAGTTTTGGAGGACAAGGGTTTTGCTAAAATATTTTTGAAAAAATATGGACCAAAAGTGAACAAATTAAGGAGAAAAAATCGTGCAATTTAGAAGTTTAAAGACTACCCCCACACTTGTTCCACAATGTCTCAACGTGGATCACAAAGAGCAATCAAAGCAAGGTGATACACACATAGCACAAAAAAATACATTAGAGTCAAATTAACAACAAAAAGGAGTTTTAGCAAGACTACATAAGAATTGTTTTAAGTTTAGTACACTTCCCTTTTTTGTCAAATTTGCTCACCATTCTCATCTCCATCTTCTCGGGAAGGGAAAAAGAAGTTTGGATCGTAGGGCGGCGGTGGTGGTATGTTGAAATGTCTCCCTAACTCTTGACAATAGTAGTTCATGCTCCACAAATGACCCCCCATTCCTTGGATAGCATGACGCTGATCTCTCAAGTCCCGTCTATGTACCGCAAGCTCCGTGCGGATTTGACCAAATTGCTCGGTCAAGTAGTCCATGTCGTAATGAGCTCCGGCTTGGGGTACGTGAGCTGCCTCTTCATGGTACGCGGGCTCCCCACCTTCCATCATCTCTTCTTCATTCTCCTCCAGTACAACTCTATGGAATTTCGCCACGCACCTCCATGGTCCTCCGTCCGGCGGTTGGAAATAGCGAAGATGTGTCATGACACTATCATCAAGCACGGCGTGCATCTCCCGTTCTTCTTCTCCTCTAAAACTAACACCAAAATGTTCAAAAATTTTAGAGCGCAAAATAGGGAAAATGAAGGCCTTATCTTGATTGTTGCTCAAGACCGCGCTCCATAATTGTTTGATGATGATGCTCGAGAGAGGAATCCCCTCATGACGACCAAGCCCGATGTGCATCATATATGCAAAGTAGAGGTCGGCACTTCGAATTTTGTTGTAGCCGCTTGCTCTCGGCATGACGTTGAATGAATAGAGGTACATCAAAAGCCGGGTCCGGATGTGTGGTTGTCCAAGGTTCTTGGTCATTAGATCAAGTCCTTGCAACCCAAAATATTGCATTGCATCCACGGGATTGTAGTTCCCATCGCTATTCATCGTTCCGGCTTGGGAAGGGGCAAAAGGAGTGCCAAACTTGGTGATATGAAATTGAGAGCTCAAAAGGTCATTGGTGATAGTAATTTTGACCCCTTTGACTCGGCTCTCAATCATCTTTTGGGCGTAATTCCCGTCAACATTTGCGAAGAACTCCTTGACGAGTTCCTGGTAGAAAGTGCCTTGGAGATGTAACACCGACTCCCAATTGATATTAGCGAAGGCCTCGCTGAGCTGGAACTCGTGATCAATATGTTGTGAGACTGTCTTTTCAATCACAAAGTCGTTGTCCCGGGACTCTAGGTAACGCTCGTAGCATTGGGTGTTGACAAACCGACTAGCCGGCAAGATGGTGGAGGAGGCCGCGGGTGCCTTGTTGATCCTAGCCCGCTTGGGGTTGCTCGGGCCAGCCTCATTTCTCACAGATTTGCCCTTTGAAGCCATTTCAACCTACAAACTCAAACAATTTCTAGCCAATTTCTCAAAAAATTTTGACATGGATTCCCCTAAAATTGACTATAATCATAATTTAGGACAACAAGAGACAACATACTCACAATCTCATTCATCAACAATTAATCACAATAATTCAATTGAAAACCCCCAAATTTAAACAAGAATTTCGAACCCTAAGCCCCAATTTTAATCAAGTAGCAAAAATTTCAAAATTTTTGAAAATAACAACTTGAAAAGAGGTTATAATGGTTCATACAAGCAATATAGTCAACAATAACAAGATATCATGCAATGAATTCGGCCTAATAGCTATCAATTTGCATAAACCCTAAATTTCGAAATTGGGAAGAACAATCAAAACTATCGATTAAATGATGTAAAAGTTGTGAAATAAGGATTAAGGAGTGAAAATGAGTGGATATTACCTGATTTGAGCTTGAAATTGGAGAAGAAATGAGAGGAATCGGGTGTATGGCTGCTGGAGCTCGAACGTCGGCCGGAGTTTGGAAGGTGTGCGTGTGTTTGTGTTTAAAAAAGAAGGGGTTTTAAAAAATCCGCAACCCGTAAGCCGGGCGGCTTTGGCGAAAGCCAGGCGGATTTTGCTTGACAGTGGGATGCCTGCGCACTTAAGCCGGGCGGCTTACACGAAACCCGGGCGGGTTTCGATTTAATGAAATATGTATAAAACTACGGCGGCCAAAGCCGGGCGGCTTTGGCGAAATAACTCAACGTTAATTGCTCAAATAAACCCAACGATATAATCATACGTTGTACACCGTAGTCATACACATTAAAATATAAAGGAAATATCATAATAATTTGGTTGAGAACATACATCAAACACCTAGAATGCGTAAAGTTTCATCCCTAACCTTGGCTATAGAAAATTAGCTAGAACAATTCATAATGAAATTACAAGTACTGAAATGATAAAATACAATTAAATACATAAGAAAATGATACCACAACTCCAAAGCTATGGTGGACAAAGCTTTCCCCAAGTGTAGAACTTCTCCCAAGACCAAGAGGTTGCTCTTGGGATGACAAAGTAGAAGTAAAGTGTGTAGAATATGGAATAATGTATTGAGAGGGCTTCAATCCTCTTAAATATTGAGATCTCAACGGCCATTTTCGGACAAGGAAGCAAGCTCCTTAATGGGATTTGGTGTTTTTCCCGAATGATTGTGATGACCGTTGCTTGTTTTAATCAGCTCCAGGCGAAAGGCGGGCGACATTCGCAAAAGCCGGGCGGCTTTTGCGCGTTTAAAACAGGCTTCTCCGCTCCAGGGACCAAAAGCCGGGCGGCTTATGCCAAAAGCCGGGCGGCTTATGCCAAAAGCCGGGCGGCTTTTGGTTCGATTTATTGAATAAATTCCACGGCGCCCAAAGCTGGGTGCCTTTCATGAAAGTCGGACGGCTTTCGTCTTGTTTTGCTCCGGATGCTTTTCCTTCATCTTCTGACGGCAACTGGATGACTGGTTGGTGAAAACCGGCCGGTTTTGGTGAAAGTCGGGCGGCTTTCACCCCTTTGGTGTATTTTCCTCTTTTTCTTTTGTTCTTCGGGATGCATTTGGTTGACCTTTACTTGTCGGGATTTTTCGTGTGTCTTTTCATCCTCGTATTTGATCCAATTGTCGGTTATAGTATTTCTTGCAAAACGAGACATATGTGTGAGAGTTTCATTCTTTTAAGTATAAAAGCGTTTATAAATTAATGTATAAAATACGTTAATAAAACGCTTATCAATATGCAGCAGTAAAAATGGCATCAACCCAAAATTGACTCGGAACCGAAGCCTCAAGAAGCATGGTCCGAGTTAATTCTAGTAAATGACGATGCTTGCGTTCAGCAACCCCATTTTGTTGAGGCGTGTCAGGGCAAGATTTTCTAAAATAAATACCATTAGCGGAAAAGAAGTGCTGCATATTATGATTAACAAATTCACCTCCACCATCACTTTGAAAAATTTTAATTTTCTGATTAAAAAGATTTTCAGCCAAAGCTTTAAATTTTTTAAAGTGCATAAAAACCTCACTTTTGTGACACATGGGATAAATCCAAGTATAACGCGAGAAATCATCAATGAAACACACATAATACTTGAATCCAAAATTTGAATACACAGGTGATTGCCACACATCAGAATGAATAATTTCCAGAGGAAAAACAAAATTATGTCTAGCATCCATAAAAGGCAAACATTGTGATTTTCCTAAACGACAAGTCACACACTCATGAGTAAAGGGAGTATGACTACATAAAAATTGTTTTTTTAAGAAACTGTAAAATACTATCATCGCAGTGACCTAATCTACGGTGCCACACAGGGCCAGAAGCTAAAACGGAAGCAAAAACTAATGGGGATGATGGCGGCAGATGGATAGGATAAAGTGGCCCACTACTGGTAGCTCGCAGAAGCACTGCACCCGTTGCTTTGTCCTTAATCAAAAAAGAATTTTTATCAAAAATTAAAGTACAATTATTATCAGCGCAGAGCCTTTTAATTGAAATTAAATTATATTTTAACTGAGGCACATGATAAACAGATTTAAAAGTGAGAGAACGACCAGACGTAGATAAAGCAACATCACCAACAGTACTTATGGGAAGATGAGCACCATTGGCAACACTAACAGAATTATAGCCCATGTAAGGAGATTTATTAACTAAAATACCTTCAGATGCAGTCATATGAGCAGAGGCTCCTGAATCAGGAAACCATAGAGCAGGAGTAGTGTCACCAGGAGTAGTCAACAGAGCAGGGGTGGACAGTTGTGTGAAACGAGATGGACAATTGATGGCAGAATGACCTGCAGAAAAGCAAATTTGACAGACAACAGGATGGGGAACAGACCCAAGAATACCCCCATCTGATGGCAAGCCTGCAGAACTACGGTTAGTAACACAGATAGGTAAAGCATGAATATTTAAATGTGACACAACAGAATTACAAATAACAGTACCCGTAGATGTCACACCCCATGCATGTGGACCACCCCTCCAGGGTGATATGTTGACTGCCCCTGAGGATACCAGTATGCTGGCTGCTGACCATACTGGACCGGATACTGCCCTCTGCCACGGCCCCTGCCACCGCGCTGCTGAGACCTGTTCTGCATCTGTTGCCCGACCGGGTGCTGAGACTGCCCGACCGGGTAGTGTGTGCCGGAATGCTGCTGGCCCGCTTGCTGAGCAGTGGGCTGTCCTGGGGAAGCTATAGCAGCGTCGAAAGCCTGATGAATGGACGAGGATTCCTGGGAGCGTAGATAAATAACCCGCTGCTCTAACTCAAGCAGATGATTACGAAGAGTTTCAAACGGGAAATTTTGTCCAAATAATGACACAACGGTGAATAAAGATTCATACTCAGGTCCCAGTCCCATAATAGTAGTCTTTAAAATTTCACGAGGAGGCATTGAACAATTGATTGTGGCAAGATCATCAGCTATTATTTTAATTTCACGCAGATAGTGATCCATTGACTAATCAGGTTTCTTTTTAATTTGATTAAATAACCGTTTTAATTCCATAGATCGGGCTAAACTGGCAGGCATAAATCGAGACTCCAACTGTTCCCAAATTTCATAGGAATGTTTTAAATCACGAACATCAATAAGAACACCCCGAGACAAAGTTGCAAATAACCAAGAACGAATTGTTTGATCAATTCGCAACCAAGTGGAAAATTCCGGATTGGGAATTTGACGGTTAAGAGCATCTATGGAATAAATAGGTGGTACCTGAATGGAGCCATCAACCATGCCAAGGAGAGCTTGGGACACCAAAAACGATTCGAACTGTGTGCGCTAGGTAGTGTAGTCTTCCACCGCTAATAATTTGGTAGTCACAATATTTGTGACATTAGTTGCCACATGAGAGATACTTTGGGCGAGATCTGTGAGGAGTGAACCGGCCGGGCTGGCTGTTGGTGTGCGAGAGGGAGGGATGACAGAGGAGACACTAGGTGAGCCGACAAAAGTGGGACCGACAAACGATGATCCAGCCGAGAAGGGTGCGGTTCCAGAGGTATGGGCTGCACAGGAACCGGAGCCGACCATGGAAACATCTGTGGAATATTCGGAAACAAAGAATATGGCAAAGAGGTCCGACTCGGTGATGCATAGTTGGAGGAGAATGTCACACCGGTAGAGAAGGAGGTAGGGGGAACACCGGTTGATGGTGGCACGGTGGCCACGGCAGGGGAGAGATGCTGGGCCGAGGATGAAGCCGTGCTGATTGCTGGAGAAGCTGCCGTCGTCATAGCGCTGGAGAAGAAATTTGCGGCGGCGCTAGAGTTTGTGCGCGGCGGTGCGGGCGGCGGCTCTACGTTAGCTCACGGCGCCGATCGTGTAGGGAGAGAGAAAAAATTTAAATAGTTCTTGATACCATGTGAGAACAATGGGAAAGATTGCTCCCTAAGGAGCCCTGACAGATATATTTATATTAAAGAGAGTTTGATGTAAAGTACAATACTAAGTCTCTAATAATTCTATTAACCATAAGGTATTAGTGTTGGGATTTGTAAATGGCAATCACTTTGTTCAAGTACTTACATTACTTATTACTTTATATCCTAATATTTGTAATGCACATTTTGGTATTGTCTATTGAATGTATTAATTTAAATAATATTACATATTGGCGATTTATATTTGTATTGTAGGTTTCAATGGATCATTATGCGCTAATACCTCCCATTGTTGCAATTTGGGAAAATTTTAGATTTGACACCGCAATGGGGTGGGAGACCCCACACTTAGATCGTATTAAGGAATTTAATGGCATACGTTCAACCCATTTGGGTGATTGCAGTAAGGAAGTTATTAACATTTAAGAAAATATATAGGTACATCACACAAAACTACTAGTTATGAGTACACATATACTACTAGTGGGAGAAGGAAGGCGGCACTCAAATTCATTGCAGCAGTTGGAGTATGGCAGGATATGATGTTAGACAATATGATAATTTCTGAGAATACAATTCTGGGATGATATTATTCATGGTTAAATGCCTATTACTCTGTACTCATTAACTTTTTATGCGATTTTTTAAGTAAGGGGCAGTTTGGATGGAGAAACATACTACCTCCGTCCCGGTGGACTTTGCCAAGTGCAAAATAGGTGAGAAATAAGAATAGTAAAAACTGCGTGGTTGAGATTTGTGCGGAGGAGAGAGAAATATACAGAACCACAAATTAGTTGCTTTATTAGGAAAGTGGCAAAGTTTTTTGGGACAACCAAAAAAGGAAAATTGGCAAAGTCCAATGGGACGGAGGGAGTATTTGATAAGATTGTCCTATTCATTAAGTTTTTCAAGTACGTTGAATTTTAGAAGAACTACCTGAGCTTCCATCCGTATGTTACCTCATTTTTATGAGCTACATGTCCAGCAAAATGTAAATATCAAATGATATAGCATTTATACATAACTTTTAAAGGAATAATTCAGAAATTATTTTTTAGGAAAATATTTCCGTCAGGATCTCAAATCAGATCAATAAGTAGACCACATGAAAAACATATCAGGTTCTGATTCATACATTCATTTTACTACGAAACAGAAGGAAAGTAACATACTTTGAGTCACAATGTAACTCTTGCAAACACTGTATTTTACTAGTGATTTTTTTTTGTCATGATAAGAACACTTAAGGGTAAGAACTTACCTCCAAAAATCTTGTTACCAGATAATGGTGTCACAAGTATATGCAATTGCAAAGCCTCACACAATTCGTGAAATGATTGTGGCGGTAGCCATTTTGGAGTCTTTACAACTGAAAGCATAGAAAATTAAAACAAGAACATACCCACTTTCAATATATATATATATATATATATATATATATACACACACACACACACATGACAACATAAATAGTAAAGAAAAAAGACCATAAAGTTGAGTAGTTAGCCAGTGACTGAAACAACACACAACTCAAGACCAAACATGCTCCAAGTACATACCAACAACTCTATTTGGAACATATTGAAGTAAATGCCCAGTCATGTATACTTCCAACTATTACAATCTTTATTTATATACTTATTATAATTGGCCTGGAAAAGGCCAATAGTTGAAGTATGTGCAGATGTCTAACATAATAATGGTTTAGAATTCAAAAAATATGAAATCTTGTTCTTATAAAGAGGCAAAGGTAAAGTATGCCCTGCACAAACATTATCAAGCATTGGTTGATTTAAAAATGAAGTTTTAGCAGCTTAATGGATTCAGTCAAGCTTGAAACTTCTTTTCAATCTCTTCCAAATCATTCCTTTTCTATGATATTGTTTGGGTAGACTTGATTAAAATTGCCTTCACTATTACACAATATCTTACAGAAACTAATCAATAAGTCATGATAAGCTAAAACGAAAGAAATGAATGAAAATTGAAGACAAACTACAATGAAAATAGCAATTAATCCAGAGAAAACTCCCTTAATTGGAACTTACCTTTCTCGGTCGAAGACGCTGGAGGTCGGGGATGAAGAGAAGCTACTTAGACTTTCTAGCTCTCGGCCGGTGAGTAAACGCGCTTAGATTGAATTCTAGATCGGGTGGACACGGCCGTCTCATTTCTCTCTCCGCAGATAGCTTAATTACAGATCTCATCTTGTTCTCTCTCCACAGCTAGCTTAATTACAGATATCATCTTGTGCTTTGTCTCTTCTGGTTGCGCCCTTCTGACTACCTGGCTTGCGGGAGAATGGAAAAGGGGTCTGGTCTCCCTTTTTTGGAAACTTCAGACATGAGCTGAATAGATGGAGTGTCGTAAATGAACTGAATAGACATGGTTACGCCAGCTGATGAAATGAACGACGTTAGAGGCGTTAGTTAAGGAGTGAGTGACGTTAAGTTAATTTAAGGGCGTAAATGGGATTATAAAATGTGAGTGTGTGTTTAGCAAAATGGGGACTGTAAATTGAATTACCCATCACGGAGGGTTCAATGGTCATTTTCAAACCGCACATGTTATAGGTGGAGATACTAGCCCGATTTTTTAAGATAACTCAATTCTTAAACTCATCAGGCCCAAACAACAAACAAAAAACCATATCAAGTTTTGCGGAACCATATCAAGCTCATAACATATAGTTGCATTCCCCTTTTCATGTTTGCCAATGCACAATTTTGATAGTCATTATATTTAAATCTCTATTAGTAAAAAACTTTTAAAAATCGGATAATAAAAATTTTGTAATGAGACGAATTCAACAATATTTTCCAAAAAAATAATAATTCACATACATTACTAAATAAAATGTAGTCAAAGTAGAGTACATGAATAGTGTGTAAATTCCAATGTTGCAACTAATATGATACAGAGGATAGTATGTTTCATCAGAAAAAGGTTGAATCCTAGAAGTAACGTATAATATTTAGTATCCTCTGTATGGCGCTTCTTGACTCTAGATGAAGGTTTTTGGATGATAGGTGTTAGATCTTGAGCTAATGGATGATATTTCAATATAAGTTCTTTTCTTCTCAAAAATAATGATTAAACATTTTTTTTAAGCAAGTAGTAGGTAAAAGTTAGTGTATTGGAAAATGCTGAGGTCATATTTTAAAACAAGTCAATTTTCCGAAAGTTTTGAGAATTAGCATTTAAGGTTCTAGTTTTCTCACATATATTACCTGGAATAGAATTGACTGAAACAGAACCAAACCAGGCTCATTCCTACTTCAAGCTCTCAGAGGTTGTTGATCTTTTACATCAGAATGGAAACTCAGATATAACTAAGGCAACCGATTAATAGGAGGATCTCAAACAAATATTGGCAAAAAGAAACCATAAAATCTTTTAAAATGGAAATACAATGTATTGTTGAATGCCTCATAAATTAAAGCAGCAATGTCATAACACAACTAACCATGGGAACCATCACTCATGGAGAGCTAATAGTTATTAAAGTATCATCATAGCTAGCTTCTCGGCATAGAGAACATAAGACATGAAACATCAAAAGTCACCCTCTCGGATGATGGCAGTGACTTGTAAGACCACATCGTCCTTTCCCTCCTCTCGGGGCAAAAACTCACAGATCAACCTATCATTTTTCTCCACAAGATTCCGTCGGCATAGATTCATCCAACCCCCGCTCATCCACGTTCGCCCATCTGCCCAAACCTTGGCCTTCATTATCCATTCTTTGCCTCTCGGGTCACGCAGGATTATAGTTGGCGGTAATACAATATCCTTGATCACATCCCTTGGTATATACTGCAAAGATTCAATGCTATCATCAGTACATATTATACTAAATAAATGAATTACTGACACATTCCTTCACTCATTCTTGAGATGTTGGGAATTCACCAAGTCATTGCGCCTTTTTGATCTGATTCCTGCCACGAAGTAAGGGTTTGTTGGTTGAGTATAATGTCCAGACTTGAAAATATCGACTCCATAATGGTCAGGGACATCCTTAGTTTCCTTGCGGGAGATTCGCTCCTCAGCACCAACATTTCTCTTATGTCGTCTCCCTATAAAGAATCTTTTGGTGAAAATCCCCGGTACAAATAAAACTACAAAAAAGGTCAGGCAAATAAAAAATACAAGAAGCTCATATGTGTAGTATCTCTTATACTTACTCTTCAAATGTGGGACCTCCTCTTCCTCGTCCTCATCACCTTCATCTCCACCGCCACTGCCACCAATATAATCATCATCAGCAGCAGCACCATCATCAGCATCACCATCATCAACACCATCACCAGCCCCATCACTAGCCCCATCATTAGCATCATCACCGGCAACACCATTCACCTTTGTATATGTTTCTTCCATATGGTATTCTTTCTTGATGTCAATTTTTTCCAACTTTTTCATGACAAAGATCTTCACATTTGACTCATTGTCAAATAACAAAAAGTCAAACACACTATGACCATCAAACTCAAAAACCAATTGATATCCAGATTTTAAACGATGGTCCTTCACAAATTTTTCCCAACCATCGTGGAAGAAAACACGATCTTCAGTTTGTGTTATCCTCACAGTCCAAATTTTCATAGTAGAATTCCTAAGTAATACCTTTTTTGGCAAGGTTTTCCGCATGGAGTCCCTATGCACAGGGTCCATGTATGATATGGGGATTTCCTTTTCATAAAAAAAGATCAACTAATCAGGAATGCAAGAAACTAATATAACCAAAAAAAACACATTTGAGGAAATTACGTTCTTTATCAAACAATTATAGATTAGTTTACTTCATTAAAAGTATAGAAGAAAATGTATAAAACAAATTTGGTGCCTTAAAATTTACACCATAATTGTGCTTTTACCATTCTCATTTTTAAATTTAACAAATACAATGTGTGGAATCATAGATGTATTTTGAACAAAGAGGACAACTCAGAATATACATTTTTGTAAACAACAATCTAAATTCTCATGAATCATGAATCCACATGAGTTCATATGACTCTATATGTGAGTGTGACTCCTTATTTTTTCTAAGAAATCCATCAGAAACCACTATGAAATCTTAAAAATAAAATGCAAAATCAGGTATATTAGTTACTTTCGCTACACTAAGCCATTGTAGTCGACTAATAGAGGAACAAGAGAGTTTTTTTAGTTAAATCACCAAAAGTAAGGCTGACCTCATGTAGAATCATCAATAGTTATAGATCAAAAGTCTCACAAAAGTTCTTTTAATTAAATTTGCAAACTATCAACCTCGATGCTTATATTAAAAATATTCAGTCATGAAATCAATATTGAACTCTTTAATGTCAATATGGAACCACAATAAAAGATCTAATATTAAATACTATGTGCTGATTTGCTTATTCGAAGGGAGTCTCCTCACCTATAATGACATAGTTGAAAAACCTTTGGGAATTTCATAATGAGGGAAGTATACTAAATTTGCTAAACAAAGAAAAATGTACTGAACTACGATTAAACATTAATTTGTTAATTATAGAGAAATTTAACTGATTATGACTAAAACATAGTGAATTTCATCAATCTGTTTTGTGAAGTATATGTCCTACACTAGAATAGTAAAAAACAATAAAACACTGTATAAGATGGAACCACAAGCCTCGATATTGTTAAATATAGAGAAATTTATCGGGCTATGGCTAGAAATAGTAACTTTCATCTAGCTGACGAAGTATTAGATCATTTTCAGCGAGTTCTAAATTAACAATGACTGATGCATAGAACAACTACAATGTGGCATAAACATCATTACATTCTTTGTACAAGAAAAAGGAGAAAAGGAATGAAATTTGAAAAAATAATACAACAATTGTATTAGCAAAAACAAACCATTTTTTGCGAATAATTCTGTGGACAAAAACACCTGTGAAAGCTAAACTTTCCGTTCTGAATGCTTGCCATCTTCTACAATCAACTGTATTCTTTTGATATGTTTTTCAAATTAGGAATGTAAGTCGCGATGGGATATATATACATACATATACATACATACATACATACATACATATATAGGGATATATATATATATATAGATGGCATTAAATAATTCCGGTAACTAATCGACACGTGTGATACATGCAGCTCCTGATGACACTAATCCGACTCATCAACCACTAAAGTGATAAGTATGGTGTGATCGCACTACGTTTGATTAAAATAACAGAATAAGCAGTAATGAATCGGTTGAATTCTTGAGATGTAAGTAGTAACTAGTGGACAGGTGTGATACATGCAGCTCCTGATAGCACTAATCCGACTCATCAACCACTAAAGTGATAAGAATGATGTGATCGCTCTGACTTTTGATTAAAATAACGGAGTAAGTAGTAATGAATGAGTTGAATTACGGAGATATAAGCTGTTTTAGTTTGATTGATATATATAAGAGGGAGTAAATTGTGTGTGGTGTATTTTAAATCATTTCCATTTAATTTTAGAGAAAGGTATAGATAAAAGCACAATTATAAGATATACTCTCCTAGTCTATCCCCCTTGGTAGAGTTGCACAATTTTTGTCATGCAGAGACTGTGATATCCAACCTGATCACAAAGTCTTCACTTCACTCCTCAACCCTTGGAGAAAACATCTTATAAAAATGCTTCTCGAAGATGAAGTACAAAAGATGAATGTAATGTTAGTATATACTCCTCTTGTCCCTTAAAGATTTGCCAAGTTTGACCGATACAAAGAACATTAAAGTAAAAACCATGTGGCTGATATTCGTATAGAGGAGAAAGAAATAACAAGAATCACAAAGTAATTGATTAACACAAAAAGTGAAAAAGTTTTTGGCACAACACAAAAAAGGAAAAGATGACAAAGTTTTAAAGAACGAAGTGAGTATGTCCAATAGACACTCACTATATAACAATACATGTACAATATCATTTTCAAGTCTTACGATATTTGATATCTATCACAAATTCAGGTTTTACTATAGACAACCACTATTGTACTACGAATTTGTGATTGATTGTTTTGGTTGTTTATAGAGAGTATATTATTCATGATTGTGCTTCCTTGACCTTATGTCATCACGAGGTATGTGAGAACATATACGACACAACATAAGGTCCTAAAAAGACCACAACTAATAATCATTGAGAATGAGATATTGATGATATATATGTGATTAGATTGGTATGTGTAGTGCACCATACTTTTAGAAAGTGTTATTGATCTTACAAATATGAATTCCTGCAATCCATGATGGACATGAATATTTTGAAGAATATTGGTATACATTATCGAAGAATCATTTGGTGTGTTGTTGTCATATTTTTATGGAAACATCGGTGTATAAAGTATAGTGGTGTACTAGCCCTCCTGCTTAAGGTCATGTTTTGAATGCTTTCTAGGGCCACCAATACCATTGTCAACAGTGTGAGCCCCAAATTGCACGATCAAGTTCATAATCAAATAGTGGGCCCAAAGTTTTTGAAATACATAGTGGCTAGAAATAAAATAAAGAAGACACAAGCTTCTAGAATTGATATGACTTCAAATAATACAGATCAATTAGGATCACGATTTATTATTTTTCCTATTTCCATATTAAGAATCTTCATAATTAGTAGTTTGTTATCATATTTAGCAAGTTCTTAATTAGCAGTTGTTCTCTCTTACAATTAGGACTCAACCATATACAACTACTACTAGAAATAAAGAAAACCACATAGAGGAGCACCCCATTATTTATTTACTAATTACGCCCATTAAAGAAAATTTATTATTTAATAATTATGTGTGGTCAGTCTTATCTTTATTTTTCCTATTGCCTATGAAGGACGAATAGACTAATTGGGATTTGAAAACCTCTCTTTTATTAAATAAATATATTTAGAGAGTATTAATTAGTCGGAAAAAATGTCTATTTAGTGCATGTGTGGTAGACATAAGTCTCTATCATCTAGATTTTGCACTATTTGAAAAGTCTTGGAATGTTTCTAGTTGTAAGTTTGACCCAACAACTTTTAATAGTTTCACTACTAGAATTTTCCTTATTTGCTGCTACCCAATTGCTGCGGTTCTTATCTAAACCACAGCCAATAAGTAAAATTTATAAGTATTTGATGCGGTTCCATTACGACCGCAGCAAATAGTAGCAAAAATTCATACTTTTTGCTGCGGTCGTAAACGAACCGCAGCAAATACACGAGTATTATCTCATAATAATCTGTAACTTTTATTATTAATTTTGACTATCAACCTAAATTCTTATCTTAGAAATATTCAGTCACAAAACCAATATTAAACTCCTTAATGTCAATATTGAAGCACAATAAAAGATCTAATACTCAATGCTATTTTCTTATTCGAAGGGAGTCTCCTCAAATATATTGACATAGTTGAAAAGCCTTTAGGAATTTCCTAATAAGGAGAGTATAATCAATTTGTTAAACAAAGAGAAATGTATTGAACTACGATTAAACATTCATTTATTGGATCTAGGGAAATTTACCCGACTTAAACAATCTGTTTCGTGAAGTATTTGTCCTACACTAAAATAGTATCAAACTATAAAACACTATATACGATGGAACCACAAGACCTGATATTGTTAAACACAGAGAAATGTATCGGACTATGACTAGAAATAGTTAGTTTCATCAAGTTGACGAAGTATTAGATCATTTTCAGCGAGTTCTATTTTCCCCATGACTCATGTATAGAACAACAACAATTTGGCATAAACATCATTAGATTCTTTGCACACAAAAAAGGGGAAAAAGAATTAAATTTGAGAAAGTAATAAAACTATTGTATCTGCTAAAACAAACCATTTTTTGTGAATAATTTTGTGGACGAAAACACCTGTGAAAGCTAAACTTTATGTTCTCAATGCTTGCCATCATCTACGATCAATTGTATTCTTTTGATTTGTTTTCAAATTACGATTGGAAGTTGATGAGGATATATATACACACACACACATGGCATTAAATAATTCCGTTAACTACTGGACACGTGTGATACATGGAGCTCTTGATGACACTAATCCGACTCATTAATCACTAAAGTGATAAGAATGGTGTGATCGCTCAGACTTTTGATTAAAATTACGGAGTAAGCAGTAATGAATGAGTTGAATTCCGGGGATATAAGCTGTTTTAGTTTGATTGAGATATATAAGAGGGGCTAAATTGTGTGTGGTGTATTTTAAGTCATTTTCATTTTATTTTATAGAAAGGTATAGATAAAAGCAGAATCATAAGATATACTCTCTTAGTCTACCTTTGAGAGCTAGTCACACTATCTCAAATCCCTCTAGGTAGAGTTGCACAATCTTGTCATGCAGAGACTGTGATATCCAACGTTATCACAAAGTCTTTACTTCTCTCCCCAACCCTTGGAGAAAACATCTTATAAAAATGCTTCTCGAAGATGAAGTACAAAAGATGAATGTATTCTTAGTACTACCTCCGTCCCAAAAAGGTTCGCCAAATTGACTTTTCTTGGTCAATGATGGCAAACTTTGGACAATGATATTAGATATTATATTTATATATAATTTATAAATTTTATACTTTTCTGAAAATATTTTGAATAAAGAACATTTTGATATAATTTTCATATTCTAAATAATTTCATATTAAAAGATATCATTGGTCAAAGTTGATTGTTATTGACCAAGAAAAGTCAATTTGGCGAACCTTTTCGGGACGGAGGGAGTATATAACAAGATTTGCCAAGTTTGACCGGTACAAAGAACAATAAAGTAAAAATCATGTGGCTGATATTTGTATAGAGGAGAAAGAAATAACAAGAATCACCAAGTAATTGATTAACACGAAAAGTAACAAAGTTTTTGACAAAGTTTTAAAGAACGAAGTGAGTATGTCCAATAGACACTCACTATATAAAAATATATGTACTATATCATTTTCAAGTCTTACGATATTTGATATCTATCATGAATTCAGGTTTTAATATAGATAATCACTATTGTATTATGAATTTATGATTAATTATTTTGGTTGTTCATAGAGAGTATAATATTCATGATTGTGCTTCCTTGACCTTATGTTATCACCAGGTATGTGAGAACATATACCAAACAACATAAGGTCCCAAAAAGACCTCAATTAATAATCATTGAGAATGAGATATTGATATGTATATATGTTGGAGATATTTAATTGTGAATCAAGTTGGTCATAAATTAGCTTTATATTTAATCCTTGTATTTAATTAGTGCATGAATTAGATAGAAATCGGGCCAAGTGTTAGGCCCATATAAACAGGCTAAAAGCCTGATTCGCCTAACCTAAACCTCGCCTATAAAAAGGGAGCTGAGGTTTAGGAATAGGTTAACGTCGTACTTATTATTCATAGCTTTACGCGCATATCTTTCTGTTGTACGAGTTCACGGTTTATCAAAGAAGGTTTTGCGGTGATTCATTCTGTGTTCATCCTTACGTTTAATCTTCGTTGTTAGATCGTTATTCATTGCTGTTACAGAAACAGGGACTAACAATTGGTATCAGAGCCGATCGAGAACCGATCAGAAGAACTCCTGCAGAATACTCTGTTTTTGTTACGTTGTTCTTACTGTCGATATTTTGCTCTGTAATTTTGTTTCTTGTTCAAAAATTGTAAAAGTTACACCTTTAGAATCGCCGTTTCAAAGCGATCAAGGGGTATACTTCAGATTGTATTTTTCGCATATACAGATTTCGAGATATCTTGAGTAGGGGTTGTCGACATCCTGCTTTTTCACAGGTTCTGCTACGTTTTTCGAGCTGAAAGCTTTACCCGAGGATCTCGACATTCTACTCTACAGGAAACTACCTTCAGATTTTGTTTATCTGATTTTTACAGTTTGCAGGATTTCGACATTGAGGATTTCGACATCTAGGATTTCGAGATCTTGATTTCGAGTTAAGGTTTCGACATCTGGTCTCGACATTTGACTTCTCAGAATTAAGATTTCGAGTTTTTAACTTCTCGACATTTCAAATCTCAAGATCAG